TCCATTTTCTTGATGACTAGTTGTACGTTTCATGAAGCAAGTAGATCTATAAAACGCTTTACTACTTCCGATTGTAGCATGCCATGTATAACTTTACATGCGTGGCAAATAGGTATCAGCTCCCAATAAACGGTTTTTAATGCATAAAATTACAAGGCACGCATACTTACAAGCAACCCGTTCTTCGAGGGTATACTAAAAGTTTATTTGCCATTCACAACGACTATTGATGTCATTGATCGACACGCTTCTCATCTGCTAATGATGATAAGTAGCAATAACGCAAAAATGAATGGGCCCGTTTTACTCACAATCCACAGCCCGCCATTAAAATATGTGTCCGAGACCTACAAAATCCTCGTCAAATAGTCAATCATAGACTTGAGTCAATACCATCATTCCAAGCAATGCGAATTGTCTTAAGCACGCTTGCGCAAACTCGGGACCCACGTGCGCACTGTATACGTCATTAAACGTGTTTTTGATAGTACTCTTGTAGTACCTACCAATACCTAAGATCAGGTGCGAAGCTTTGTTGTTGACAGTACTAATGAAAAATAACACTCAATAGTTATTTAAAAGCACAACACTATTTTATTTTCTATGACTATTGTACCGTTGTAGACAAGACTAAGTCTTTCAGCAACATCAGCGTACTCCAAAGACTTGAGCAATCCGCATCTCACTTATTAGTAAGGTGAGTCGCTAACCCGACGCATCGACACCTTACATGATGTAAGCGCGCAAAGGCCCGCTCGAGAGATGGTTTGACCACATTGAGTCCCGATGGATAAAAACATCCATGACGTGACTCATTATCTCAATTAGTAACGTACCAACCTATCATTTAAAGGTAAAAAAGAGACCGAAAAAAATATCAATTTTACCAAATGGGTACACCAAGTGAGTCTATGCACAATTCAAAAGCTATGCGAGAAAGTGGTCACATATTGGATGTCGTTCGATATCAATAAAGTAGAATTCGTTAAGCAAACAATTATGCCTATTGCCAATCGTGCCTTGGTCCCAGAATCTGGACTCGTCTAGGGCGATTAGGCACACAAACGTTCTGGCTGCAAATTTATCCACGGTGCCATGTCATATTACGAACATCGACTTACAAACACACCTACATGTTTGTAAGGTCTTGCGTAGATTGTTGACCTTACTCACGCCGCTCAAAACCCAGCTGCGTAGAGGTAATCATGGCAAAGGAAAATCTTGAATATTGGCGATCTTTCTGAATCTGGATACAAAAGTCTCAATTTACGTACTGATGCTATATTTGATCGTGAAGTCTGTGCATGCATGTTTTCAACATCATTTGAAGTTTTGACCCATTAAGCACAAAACGAGGCGGTTGATGATTCGACCAGATATCATGTCGAGATTGTCAAACAATGATAGAGATAATTTATAAGATGCAGTGTCTGCGGGATCAAGAGTATATTGTAGGATTAAGCAAGAGCTTTCTGATATACCTGGAGCGGATACCCTCCTCGCATATGAGGATAAGTGGGCATCTATGCGGACCAAATAAACAAGCACAGTCACTTTTGTCGGGACGAGCTCCTCCACATTCACAAAATCTGTATTACGGCAGGACTCAAGAAAGCCAACTATAATACGGTGGTTGGATCAATTTGCGACAAGCAAGAGAATACGCAAGTGTCGTCTTGTCTACGATCGATATTGCTTAATTTATCGCTGAAGCAACTCCGTCGTACATACATTCAACTCTCATACGTTTACGACTCTGAACATCAAGCAATACTGGGTAGTCGACCCTATAATGTAAAACACATCTTCCACCATCTACACCGACTTTTTATTTCAATATGTCTTGGCAACCACCTCTGTATCATGCACACGTCGTAAGATATCATGATTCTTTGCGAGATATTCGCTGATTTGTTTTAAACAGTGATGCGTCTGACATTAGCAAACCGATCGGCGAGCTCTCTCTACCAAACACAAAGACATTTACAGAGAATATCAGGGTAGTACGATCGTGTGATTCACTTACATAGAATGAAGCATAGTCGATTAATACATGTACGGCACTTGATTCGACGCAAATTGTACAATAATCATAAACCTCCAAGACTTTGAGTCATCAGCTCTAATAAAGTATGAAAAACGACTGATAACGCGATTGACCCATGCATAAAACTTGGCAGTTGTGGAATGATGCTATTACCTAAAAAAACGAGCAATACGATGTTAAAGCCGACCAGACAACAGGCAGAACTCTTTCGTGCGACCGCGTTCTGTTTGGCTAAACGATACAAATAAAGCCATCGAGTGTTGTACGCAGACATTACCGTCATTCAATATATTCACTGTCACAAAGACTCTGAACGTTACACGATTGACAAAGTTCTATATGTGACGAAACACATTACGCTGAAGCGGCGATAGTAAACATTTGTAATCGACAATACGAAAGTGAAGAAAGGTGTCTCTTACTTTGTCGTATTCTAATACGCAGAGGAAGCGTTGATCGACCAAACGATAGAGCTTGGTAAATGAAATCGAGAATTTGCCCTTATGAATCAATTTGTTTCAATTATCATCTGCAGATATCTCTTAACAACATGTCACAACAGGTTGTATGATAAACACTTGGCCGTTGCCTGCATGTACTATTTTCTGGTGTATCAAAGCTTGGGATCTCTCTGTAGAGGACGCCTTATAGACTCCCGATTCCGCAAGAACTATGAAGGTAATCAAAGCGATAACGATTCACTTATTTTTATAGCAGTACATCTTATTGTAGATTACTGCATAAAATGCTGTAAGTACGCCTTCCGAATACACCTGGATGTTGTTGACCAAACTTTATATATATTGATTAATTAATCTCAATTAATAATAAATTTGACTGCGCCATTCGATGTACAATATATGACGATTTTAAAGGCTTATGCATATTTGTTAAAAACACATTTGACCGACGTCAGCCTCTTCATTGATGCCTTTTTGGTCTGTACCGTCATGGTGCGATATAGCGGGACAACAATGCGTGTACTCACGTAGTACAAGATACCTACACATCCACACTGTGGGAAGGTGCCTTGAGAGCTCATGTACACTATACGTGCAATAAAAAGTATACCTTACTCATGAAATTGCATAGTAGAAGGAAATTAGAGAGCCGTGGTACCTGCAATCAAAGCATTTGAGAATATAACTATATATAAAGCCAATTATTTATAATTTAACCACCATTTCACCATCTAACGAGCGCGTGTAGCAAATTTAGTTGATATATAAATAACTTACATTAATCAATAGATAACACGGTGCCGCATATTACCCTCGAAGGTATCAGTCGCGTGATATATCCCCTGTTGTATAATTTAACGAAAAGTTTGTCAAGTGAAGTCAGTGAATGCATTGACCGATTGTAGCTGGCAAGAGTATGTAAGAATCACTCGGCTACCGTCTGTGTGACGGGCCGCTGCTTCCTTCGTACTGGAACACCAGTACGGAGTTGATTTTCACTGACAATAGTGATGATCAGTGCGTTGCTAGGTGTAAGCACTGCACAGAGGAAGGATAAACAACTAAGGCAAGACTCTGGTTGTAGAAAAAGTCAAACTGTTATTCAATACAATTAAGTCCTACGACTCTTGTTCTCTGTTTTGACCTTCATTATATTATTATAACTAAATGTATGATGACGTCTACTCACCACCCATTGCGCGCGTCTAGCAGCGATTGGTGGGTTGATATAATCACAAATGTAAACCAATAAGTAGACCGTTGAGTCATCTCAACAATATCACTATAGTTAGTGATATTGTAACAAGAATATCCAGCGTAATATTCTTTAAGACCATTACGCACAATGTTTATTTCATTTAACGGCTACCCCATTACAATCTGCTTATAATCGAGAGATTATTTCATGCCGTTAGGTGTTTATCCCGTGCATTTTGCAACTTTTCCCTTCAGATATATTAAATATAATTAAGTTACTGAGAGAACAATTGTGTAGCATCGAATAATTTTGTTAGCCGCAATATTACATGGGTTGGCCAGCAGATGATCAGCCCTACCACATCTGGTGGGACTTGACAGCCGGTATCATGGCAGGCACTAGTTAAGGGTCAGAGCGTCCTAAGTTGCTCCCTAAATACCTCACCCCGTAAGATATTAATTCTACATTTCCTATTGCAATGTAATAAGTTGATTATTAGAGATAATATTTACATTGACGTTAGCATATTATCATGTCATAAAAACGGACTCATCCCGTTGCCAAACCTTGACGTCATGCTTCTCGAATCGATCAAAGGTGGATTCATTACAAATATGAACTGCATCGACGGCTTAGCACATAAAAATCCATCATCGGCCATGGGTCGATAATTTTGTCACCAACGACACGTGGAGGACAGCGTGTCCTGAGAAACAGTCGTGTGAAAATTGTCACTTCGACGTCGATCTAATTTTTACTTCACTCGTCGTGTCGGCCGGAAATTTGGAACAGTGAGTCATATATTCAATAGAGCGACAACTGTTGGAGTTCTTTAGATCTAGAACATTCCTCGAGTACAACAAAAAGCAGTAGAAGTACGACGAAAATTTAAACGGCTAAAATTAATGGTAATTTAACATCTCGCCAATGGCCCTCATCTTGCAGTAAGATCAAGGATTGTACGCATGTGAAGTGCTTCGGTTGTGTATAGAACAAGCACACTGACTTGATAAGAATTTGACTCAGGCAGTCGGCCTTCTTGCGCCGCTTGGGTCAATCTCTCTCGGCCATGGGGCTCCATCGTGGCCGAAAGGCATACGCTTGCAAACACGTTTTATCGGGATTGACTACTCGTGACATTTCTATTTCTATAGCTACTGCACCCAGTAAGTCCGTGATCGTAGTTGTGTTAAAACAGTACTAGTGTCCAAGCGTTCGGGTCGCGAGCTCACTTTCAACTACAGACAGAGAGAGAGTGAGAGAGTGAGCAGAACGACGCGTGCCCACACACCTCATGGCGGACGCATTAACGATCAAAGTCGTCAGTAGCACGGCCGAGAGTCTACAGGTTCACGTAAACCTATCCGCGACCTCAGTGCTGACCCTGAAGCAGCTTATCGAGCAGCAGGACGCGCGCCGGTTTCCAGTCGCGGCCCAACGTCTGATCTTCCAAGGCCAGATCCTGCAGGACGCCAAGCTACTGACCGCGTACCACGTCACGGCTGGCTGTGCTCTCCACTTGACACTAACGCCCAATGGCGCAGCGACTGCGACTACGGCGGTGGCGTCCGCGCCACAGTCTCAATTGAATACGTTTTTGCAGCAAATGAGAGACGGCGAGTCTCGCGATGCGTACGCGACGGCCGTGCAGACGCTGCTGAAGATCTGCGCCAATATTGTGGACCACCCGACAGAGGACAAGTACAGGAAGCTGCGGGTGGACAATGCAGCGCTCAAGGAAAAGCTCTTTGATCGGACGCGGGGACGGGACGCTGTCAACTTGCTGGGCTTTCAGGACGGAGTGCTGGCGGTGAGAGGCATAAAGATGCAGCAGATATGTGCGAGAAAGAGAGCTGACGGACTGTGCTGTTGGTGCTGTTGTTGTCGCTTCTGTTGTAGGGACATGTGGTGCTCGTGCCGACGCCAGAGAAGTGGGAGAACTTGATAGCGTGCAAGAACGTCTTGCATTCCGCGGCTACGGCGCTGGCTGGAACCGCCGCACCAGGCTTTGCTCCGGTTGTTCATGCAACGCCGGCAACAAGTGCTGGCGGAAACTTTGCGTCGCAAGCACAGGCGTTGTTGCAGAACCCTGCGATGTTGCAGTCCATGGCGAGCAACCCGATGGTGCAGCAATTGAGTCAGCACAACCCCATGCTGGCCCAGGCCTTGCAAAATCCGGCGTTGCTGGCACAGTCGATGCAGGCTTTGCAGCAAAACCCGGGAATGATGCAACAGATCAGCCAGATGATGGGTGATCCGAATGCAATGGCGCGCATGCAGCAGATGATGGCCGGAGGCGGCATGGACGGCCTCGGCGGCCTCGGCAGCTTTGCATCCACTGGCTCAGCGTCGTCGGCTCCTGCGGCCAATCCGTTTGCTGCTCACCCGAGCAACGCGAACCCGATCGCAAGCCCCAGTCCAGCAACGCCATCAGAAGCTTCGACGCCGTCTCCGACAGCAGTCGCCGCTCCGTCGCCGACGCCTCCGGCCCCTACAGCCGACGACACGTACGATGAGGATGCGATCGCCGATGCCATTGCGCGCTCGTTGCAAGATCAGTGACGCAGCAGACGCAGCAGCAGCGCGTGGCGTCGCACACTGTCGTGTCGGAAGGAACCAACGACCGCAAACGCTTTTGCTGACGTCGGCGTGTCGCAGCTGACGTCCCCATCCTAAATCCGCATGTCTAAAGTTTCCAAGCGGTCGAGCGATCATTGGCTGAAAATTGACTATTGACCAATCGTAGCGCCCATCCTGCCGCCTCGTTTTGTTGGCGCACAGTTTTCCACCGTCGCTAAGTCTGCGCATGCTGCGCGTCGCTCTCGCTGCACCGACAGAGTCCTCCGCGCGCGCCCCGCACGACGCCCATTGCCACACGTCCTCTACTGCGTCTTCTGCGCTACGCTGCACGCTCTCTGGCGCCTCAACGCACGGCTGGAAGTCGCGCTCTCGGACACTCTGATCATCGACACGTCAACGCGTTTCGCGCAATGGCGAGCGACCAACAACACCAACAACAGCAGCAGCAACAGATGGCGGCAGAAGCTGTGGCTGGGAACACGAGTGGCTCGTCTGCCCCTCTCGATACGGCGACCAGCGGCAGCAGCAGCAGCAACGTCCACGTGCAGGGGTTCGCGCCACTGGCCTTCGACGAAAGTCTCGTGGCTGCAATGACGACGGGATCGACTGGCGCGATGACCGCTGTGACGACCACAAGCAGCAAGTCGGCCGCTGATTTCTTTCTGGATCAGATCGCAGCAGTGGTGTCGGACGAGAAGAAGCTCTCGGATGTGCGTGGCCGAACGCACTCGAAGAAAAGTGGCAGCTAGAATTGACGATGGCTGTTGCCGACGCATGGTGAGTGATGTAGCTCACGTTGTTGTGCTACGTGATTTGTGTGTGGCTTGCAGAATATCATGGACTTGATCCCGCCTGTGGAAGCGCCAGTGAGTCAAGCAGCAGGCGGAGGGACAGGTGGTTCGAGTGCAGGCATGACGTCGTCGATCGACATACCGTTGCAGCCACCGCCCGGGCTGATGATGCGTGCGTTGTCGCCGCCGACGTCGCTCTTGCCTGACTTTGGTGATGTTGCGTCTTTGTCTCTGCTTGGAGATGGCATGGTAAGTGGGACAGCAACGAGCTTGGGTACGTTTGCTTTGCCAGCGACGACGACAGTTGCAACAGCGGTGAAACGAGAGCTACCTGTTGTAAGACCGGCAGTCACAGGTACAACTGCAGCTTTGACGAGACAAGCAGATCTGATGAGTGCGGCGAACAAGAAACAGAAAACGGAGAATTCGCAGTCGGATTCTGTTGCGAAATGTGGAGTGTCTGCACCGCCCCTGTCGGCAATTGGCAATCCGCCAATCCAGCAGCAACAGCAAGCGAGACATCATCTTCATAGCAACAACAATCAGTTGGGTGTGTCTGCCGCCGCTGCAGCAGCACGCGAGAAAGTAATGAAAGAGCCACAGTCTGGTGATCTCTACGAGTGTGTGATCACCAAACGCAATGGGGGACTAGGACTCACACTCGCCTGCGTGGATGACCACGTCCAAATTACAGGGCTTGCGCCAGATACACCTGCCGCGAGTAGCGGTATCTGCGTTGGCGACACGCTGGTGGCTGTATCGGGGCTGCCTGTGCGCGGACTGCAATTCTCGACGGTTATTGGCCGCCTTAAATCGACTTCGCGCAACTCGGTTGTTCTTAAACTTCGCCGAAATCCTTGTACGTGTGAACTCGATGAGTATGATTACGTGTGCTGTCTGACGCCGCTCGTACGGATCGCTCTTGTGTTGTGTATAGTTCGACAAAATGCTGGTGGCTCGGCATCGTATCGCGGAATGAAACGCCCCGCTCGAGGGATGATTAGGGGGCCGGATAGCAGCAATAGTGCTAACGTTCTCTCAAGTAAGACGATGGCGCTGGAGACGCGAATAGGTGGTGGTCAAAGCAATGTCATGAATGGTTCTACTGGAAGTACGGGTGGCCTGCCGAACACAGGGACCGCACCTGCTGGCCTAGATGACCCGCACCGCTCGCATCACCAAGGACTTACTGGTTTCGCGAACCATTCCGCTGGTAATAACCATGCGCAGCCTATACAGCTCAAGTCGGAATCCATGAACTCGACGTATTTCCCCACAGATGCGTCTATTCTGACAATGGGAGCGCCTGCTAGTAGTACGTCAGCCGCTGTATTACCCAGTGCAATCGCACCATCTTCGGTCTTCAGTGATTTGCAGACTGGACGGAGAGTTAGTCATGAGGAGAAGGATCGCTACTATGCTGAGTGCCGATCTCTTCGACACGAAATGGGTAGAGTCATGGTGGCACAAAGATTGCAAAAGCGAGAAGCGAAATTGTTTACTACTCAGTTGCAGGCGGTCGTGGACAAGTTCAAAGAGCAAGTGCGGTCGCTGGAATCGACACCGTCCGCTGCAGTACCTTCCACTGCAACACCTTCTGAACCGTCCAGCAGCTCTGATCGCGACGAAGTAACAGCTTTACGTCTAAAACTGGTGGAAGCAAACCAGGCATTAGCGAAACGACAAACTGAAATGCTGGTGCTTCAAGATCGAGAAGCTCGACATGCGCTTCCGGAATCCCAGCGCTTGAGATGGCAAATTGTGTCGCACATGCGGAGAAGTGTGCTGCAAATTGACTGTAAAGCGGCTTCGAAGTTGTCACCCCCTCCGACCGTGAAGACGGCTGGTGTACCCAATGATCCGCGAGTGAGTTTTGAGGAGCGGCTCGAAGGTGTCCGGCTTAGTGCTTTCGCGCTACTTGTTGGACAGAGCAATGCAAAACCTGGATCACCTACTGTTGAGCTCGAACTTGACGTGAAAGCTTGTACCGAGGTAAGTGATTGTAATGTATGTGTTTGGGTTGCAACTTTGGGATGTCGAACAACGATCTAATGGCTTGACGGCATCTTGCGTTGTAATTGGAACAGCTTCTAGGCTGGAATTTACGCGAAGTGGTTGTCCAAGCAGCAGGGACATACACTGTAAGTGTGGCTGACAATGTTCACGTAAGGTATATGCGAACCGAAGAGGCTCTTGTCGTTTCGTGGACACTATGCGTGAAAGACAACTGTAGCGGAAGGAAATAGTGCTTCTGCGTTGGCAAAGTTGCGCAAATGCACATAGTACTGCAGAGGGCGCGGTCTGGCGTGAAGCGGGTGAAGCAAAGCTGGCGAGGTTCAATCCAATGTAGAAACCAAGAGGCTACAGGACTCGCACGAGCGCTGGGCATAGAATTCAGGCATTTTCTATTTGCATAGGAAATGGACAAGTGGTCAAGTGGTCAAGAATGGTAGAAGCCTCATGTGGCTATCGGTGCGGACGACATCGGGCGGGGTGGCGCTTGCAAGAATGGCACCTCCGTCACGCGCTCATTCACGATCGACATTATTCGCTCAACAGCTTTGTCATCAGTCTCGGCGTCTCGCTCATTTTGGCATTCATCCACTCCAGCTTTCCTCGTTTGTAGCATAGCGCCATCCATGAGCAGCACATACGCTCGTGCAAGCTGCTGGCGAATGTATTTGTCACGCGACCCTTTCAGAACGTGTGCCACGTCGTAGCCCACCTCAAATGGATCTTCGATACTCAGTCGCGTTGTGAACCGCCACTGCGAAGTTTGCCGCTTTTCTTCCTTGGTAACAGTGCCAGCATCCGGGCGACGAACGCTTACGACATCGCGAGTGGCATCGAATTGCAAACCATAGTAGCGCAGGAAGCCAAGCAGCAGCTCACCTACGCTTTGTGTGTTGCGCGCGCAGTATTCGCGCAATAAGGCTATCTTTTCATCCGGCTGCCGGAACGCAAACGGGTCGTAGAAATACGTCTCGATACCGCTGTGGCCTTCAGTGCCGTTGCCTGCACTTGCGTCCAACTCCTCGCTAGGACCACGGCACAGCACGCTTGGCAACATTTCACGAGGACTATCCGGCCAGTTTAGGGGCAGAGCCTGCAGCACCGGCAGCACAGGTGGATCTTGGCGCTGGAGGAAGTGGATGAGCAAGAGGAGATAGCCGTATGACGAGAGCGTCCCCTCAGCGGCACAGTTCATACGCCGCTGTTTCACGAAGCGCTTGATTACATACGCCAGCATGCGCATGCGTGGATCAGCGTTCGCGTAAGCACGAAGAAGGGCAGTGTTGCGCTGCGCCAACCGGTTCTCGACGCACAAGTCACACTCGATGCCCACCGTACGTGACACAAACATAATGATCGGAATGCGCGCTGTCAGGCGTGTCGTATCAACCGACGCAAACAAGTCTGGACGCGACTCAAGTCGAGCAACCACTTCGAGCAGCATCTGTTGTTTCTCCTCTACTGTCGGGCTACTCAGCTCGGGCAACACGAGGCACATGTCCATATCACTGTGCTCGTTGCCGAACTCGTTGGCCGATGATCCAAACACATCCAGTTCACATGTAAATGACAGCTTGGATATAACCTCAGCTTCCAGTTGGTCGTATATCGGTTGACGCGACGCGCGGAAAGCAGCGCTATCTGGCATCAGTTCGGCCGCTTCCCTTTCGACCCACTGAGACAAAGCCTGCGACACGAACGGAGCGGTGTGCAATATCTCATCCTCACTGCCAAGATCTGAACCCGTAGATGCAACGTCTATCGGTGCAAAACCAAGGTGCTCCAGCCAAAAAGCGCAACGGTCTGCGTTGTTCGCAAAGTACAGCCCGCTGACTTGGCAAAAGCGCTCGCGTTGAATGCGAGCAATGTCAGCAAGCTGGTCATCTGCCACGAGCTCTCTTACGTACTTATTAGCCTCGATGGCATTAAACACATTGCGCAGCGTGCCATGAAAAGTCTCCACGGGGCACGGAATCGTCTCAGTAGCTGCGAAGGAGTGTCCAATGTCTTCAGCACTACGCTCGAGTAACCGCAGACAAGCCTCCAGCAGGTCACCCAACAGAGCATGGCCGTGAAGAAAAATTGTTTCCACTTGATCCACTAGTCGCATAAGCGCGAGCAGGGCACTTAGGACAAGTCCAGCATCGCCATCGTCGACACCTTGCTGATACTTGTCGTTTGTCGCACGTAATGTATCGATGAAATGGCTGTACTCCAAGCAAACCTTCAGTCGATTACTGCGCGCGATTATCACGTTAGAGTACGACACCTTGTCGTAGTGGTTGCCAGCGTGGTGGTCATCATTTGTGTGTCCTTGACGCTTCCCGTTAGACGGATGACTGTGACCGCTGTTATCTTCAAACACTCGGAATTCAAACTCACCTGGAGATCGTGGGGCGCGGAATGTAATACGCGTATTCAAATACCGAAAATTACGGTGCAGCTTGTTCTCGAACAAAACCTGCTTCACGAAAATTGGCTTGTCGTTTGTCGGCTGCCCGAGACGGAAAAGTCCAACAAGAAGCACTCTCCCAACCAGACACTCCTCTGCTAACAGCGCAACTTGTACCTTGATGTTGTCGTTAGGCTTGGTTTTCTCGGGAGACACATGAACTGAATTACCCTGGCCTGACGTCAGTGGTACAGGTGCCGAATTTTCACGGTGAAGCTGGGGTGACATTGCTTGTGAGCGACGCGTACGCGATGGGGTCGAGCTTCTAGAATGAGAGGCCCTGGAAGACGACAACGCTGAAGGTGCGGGGCATCCACGACCTGTTCTGTGACTCGGACTGGACGTCGGCAAACTTGACATCCCATTTAACGCTGGCGACTGCATCCTCCCACCACTCATTGTTGGCGCATTCGATGTCGGGTACACTTCTCGTCGCTCATACCCAGCATTGCTTCTACTGCTTCCTCTATTGAGCATTTTCAACATTTCATGACCAGACTGTGACAGCGGCTGGTGTTGGCTTTGTTGGGGAAGCTGAAAATGTGTCCGATCATGACTGAGTGGCCTTGGGTCCTGATACAATGCAGCCATCTGAGCATTCATCTGATCGCGTAGCGAACCCGTCGAGTGACTCGCGACCGCAGCCCGTCCAAAAAGTCCACGTTCAGATTCGTTCTGTAACCCTCTCCCCAAGTCCAAGTTGAGCATAGCATCCGAGAGGCCCGTGTCTTGTCGTCTGTCCCCAGCCATTGCTGCCGTTGCAACTTCAGTAGCCAAATGCCTTTCGTCTTCCGCATACAAAGATGACGAAAGACCACGTCCAAATTTCTGTCCATTGAGTTCCAGGCTTCCCCATGGAGCCAAAAAAGATTGGCCCGAGCCTAAAGAAGGGTATAGCTGCATATCCTGCTGTTGAAGACGTTGCTGTTGAAGCAGCTGCTGCTGAAGCTGCTGCTGCTGAAGCGATTGATCTTGCTGCTGTCGCTGTTGCTGCTGAAAGTGCTCGTGCCGTTGAAACTGCTGGTTAGTAGGCTGAAGCGATTGCTGCTGCTGCTGCTGTACACGATAGCGTGCGTCTTCCCTTTCCATTGTCGGCCACTGATGAGGAGATGACGACGGCAGAGGCGGTCCCAGAGGCAGTGGCGGGTGTCGCTGCTCAGGTAAACTAAAGGCCGATCCAAAGTCCAGTGCATCGCCGCTGAAAGCCGACGAGTGCGACGTCGACAGTTCGGCGTCGCTCCGTCGCTGTTGCCGACGCGCACTTGCAGTTTCGTGTGCACCACTTCGCGGCGCGAGACGGTGTTCCAAAGCATATGAGTCGCTCGTGTCCGTTCCAAAGCGCCCGTCGCGACGCGTCGGCGAGCGTGGCGGCTGTGGCCACTGAGCCATAGAGACAGGAGACGGACAGAGCAAAGGGGACACGAGACGCTGACGCGGCGGACCGATCGAAGCGCAAGTAGAGCGCGACAAGAAGCGCGTACACTGATGTGCCGCTCGTGCGTCGGGTCAGAGTCCGAAGCGGCGGAGAGCGGCCGAGTGGGCCGAAGAAGTCGTTGCGCAGCGACAGCGGAGAGGGCAAAGCGCAGCCGAGTGGGGGGTGACGACAGGAGCCGAAGGGGGTTACGTGCACCACACGATATAGTAACCCGTGCGTATCAAACTTAAGTGTGCCCGATCTATGTTTACACCCTGCAGCTTTAGTGGACACACACCCTATTCGAATACAGCTCCCTCTATTGCAAGATCATCCTACCCCGTCACACAAACTCTTGACGACTAATGTCACCCTTAAACAGTTTCCTGCAACTCACTAGATGACAGGATGACTGGGGCCACGTTGCTCTGCTCTTGCTAGAGTGTGTGTCTTGTGATGATTAGTTGTTCATCGAGAAAGCTTGAAGCTCGCGCATCGTAGACGTAAGAACCCATCCCATCGTAGTCACCTCCATTCGACAGACGTCGTGATACGTGTGGACACGGCGTCGCTCTTGGACTATATTTGTACGTGATCACTTGTGTGCGTTCGATGCAGAGACCCGTGTTGTGATGTTAACCGTTTATTTCGATCTATTCGTACATCGGATCGTTTGCAATCATGTCACCTCATGATACGAATGCAACACGAGCGAAATACGCACAAAATTCTCAAGCTGGCGGGAGTAGTCGTGTCCTCTTCGAAAAAGCATTTCCTCTCTTGTCATCGCACTTTTCATTTTTGGCCACACGCCTATGTAGTATTGAATTAAATTGAAAGATGCATTTAAATGCAACCGTCGCCGAGATGGATATAACTTATATGGGCACAGTGATGTAAATCCACAGTGATAATAGTGTTGCGTTTAACAGTCTGCGGTAAATAACGAAGAACAATGTAGACAAGTTCCATTTCACATTTCTGACTAAGCTAAATGACTTAGCAGAACTATATTTGTTTATGGAGGTGACTCGAGATCATTTCGTTATCATGACAAACTGAAGCACAAATATAATTTTGCGAAAAATATACCGAAACATTTCTTGAATGCGTAATATCCAGTGGAGTTTACGAATTGGGTATAATATGTCATCATATTAATCAACATCGCGTCTAATATACGAGGTACGCACGTTTTTGTGAGCGATAATTTTGATCGTGCTTGTACGCGTTATCGGTATGGCTGGGTTGGATGATTACATTTGTATTCATTTGATAAACTAATGTAAATACTATTTCTCGTTGAAATTCGACCTCATTTCTCGTTAGACGTCTAATTTCTCACTTCATCTTGTACGTGGAGTTTCGACGCACCTGTACGCTATATTTCAGCGTAGACTACCTCCGGCCTTTTAAAAAATTGCAGTTGCCTCATCTTGTAAAAGTGTATTATTAGAGGAATTATCACAATCTGTTGCCTTCGTCGGTATTGATGCATCTGGTCATGAGCACGTTCAGTGAATACCTAGTCACCAATTGCGAGCATCTGTCATCAAACGATGTCAGTACAAGCGAAGCGTGCCTCATTACATATCCGGTGCAATCTGTTGTTTTCAAATGCATGTTAGGGTCCATGCGTTTGATTTTCACAAACACCGTTTCGGCATAAAGTTTGGTCCTGTGCACAAAGTGACGCATTGATCCATCAAATAGGCTTTGATGGGTCGAAATGTTATCTCAAGTCGTGACAAGACATGAAAGGAATTGATCCATCGAATAGTCTTTGGTGAGTCGAAATGTTATCTCAAGTCGTGACTAGACATGGAAGGAATTGATCCATCGAATAGTCTTTGGTGGGTCGAAATGTCGTCTCAAGTCGTGACAAGACATTGAAAGCGTGGAGGAATATTTGAGCTTAGCATATGATAACTTGTCGAGTGGATGATATTGTGTATTCATGTCAGCAGTAATTAGCAAGTTAAGATACCACAATATATCGCGTATAAGCATAGCCTCGACAGTCTTGTCGCAGTCCGCGTCGTGAAATGAAGTTTCTATATAGTCGGTAAAAACGATTAAGCTCGCCCTCTTCACAACAACTGCTCCTGCATACAAAGCCTTTTTGACACCATTGTCCCATGCCAGCAGTCCAATTTTTTGAGTTAGACTCTGCTATATTCGGAAATGATACACATAACGTCCCAACAACCGTCATCGAACGCGGCTTGATAGATCAATATACGATGGACAATACACTTAACATCTCCATTACCGATCTTCACACCATATGATTGCCTGTAAGCATTTCAAAGTATGTGATTTTATATACAGCGCACAATGCATACTCATGTGCACTTACACAGCAGGAATGTTTGAGCAGATAAGCGTCTATTTTGAATGCTTATTCATTTTTACTTACAGCTTATGTAATAATATCTGTATAACGCTGTTTGATATCTAATTTTGTACCATTGTGGCTGGCTTAGTGCATCTAACTAATTCACGATGATACTTTGACAAAATTTTGTCTCGGGTCCACAGGATTATCATTTTTCATCCGAACAGCGTCCTTATTTTTATAGATCTCTAAGTTCATTTTAACTCTCTCCTGATGCATTCGAGGATATAACACTTGCGTGGATGAGTGGCGGCGTTTGGTGTGTTAGTGTATGAGTTTCTCAGACAATTGGTGCAGGGCTGGGTAAGGATAAAATTGCAGTTGTTTTCCACTAATCCATGTAAAGGATTGACATGTCATATCATGTTATTGTGCTAGTGCATAATTGTACATGTATTTGTTCTTCTGCTTATGTATCATACGTATAATTGCTGTATTGCTTCACTGATATCCAATCCAAAAATCTTTGGAGTTTTAACAAACTGATCTAGCAACCCTCTGAAAGCCCAGCTATGGTAACGTGTTTTACAATGAATGTGACACGGTGAGATGTATTAGAAAGTTGAACTGTTCCGATCACCTGTGTGCTAGGAAGTAAAATGAAGACTAATATTTTAACATTCAACACTCTGCTCTTAGAGCTCCTTCGAACTTACAGGTGTCAATCCTAAACGGGTCAACCTCCATCTCGTCGCACATAACGACTGAATGACACAGCATGTCAACTCCTTTAACATCTGCCTATGCGTGCGGTTCCATGTCCAAATTTTAACATGATGACGTACAAGCGTTGCCGCTGAAGCAGCATACGAGACAGTAAATAAAAGTATCACAAGCACCGGGAAGGAAGAGACGCATGTAAAAGATAATTAGACTAAATATTGCGATGACCTTTCTTCGAATATACACGGTACAGGAACACAAGCATGATAGATTCACTTTGCTGATATGCGATATCTCTCTCACAAGATTACCAGTACAATAACTGCTATAACCAAACAATCTTCACATCCGTTCGCGGTGCGCAAGTATAGCTCTCAATATTATGCAAAAGACCATTTATAGATGGCGTCTCCGCAATGACACAAGTGAGGGCACGCTGAATATAATCGATACAGGGTTATGCCTGAGCGTCTAGACTTACCTGAACGCATTGACTGGATCTTGACCATAGTTATAGTAATTATGGTCTCTTCTGGGAAAAGATGTATTTATTATGTGGAATGTGTGGAGCCAACTATCATACACATTGGTCGCTGTATACCGTTGTTCATTGCAGCGTTTGTTTGTTTGTTCTTCGTGGACCTACCAAGCAGATTACTGCGATAGTTTAGCCGCTGCTGATGGTCGGGTGTGATGCAAGCACACGATTGTTCAATTATACGATTTTATATAGGCAGTCAGACGTAGTTTCTATCCTATGTCACGGACGCTGGTTTGACCAGTAAACGTCGATGCAGACACTTGGCCCTTATACATGTTGTTTAGTCGGACATTTGGAAACGAAGTTTGTCACACATTTGTGTGAGTAGGGAGAGCTAATTACCTCCCTCTACTCAATCAAAGTGTATTGAAACAACACTGCGGCCCGACGCATTTTTTGCTGCTGCGTTCTATACTTACGGTCATGTTGCCGTGCGAGACACTTCACTACGTCTCTCTACGTGCCTGATCAATACAACGATTGGACTTTTGTTGCGCAGTGTTTGCAGAGTATATGGTGGACTATCTACGTAGTACGCTGCACCACAGCTATGCGTGCACGCAAAGTATACGAGTGATCAGACAAAGGAGCCGATCGTGCATCGTTTACAACAATCGGCTGAGTGATAGCACGCTGCATCGACTATTTGTCGCCGATGTCAATGGTGCACTCCCCGAATTATATACTGCATTATGCCAAATCAGTCTGTGGTAGCTGACGAAACGGCAGCAGAGAAGTTATCTGCTGCTCTTAGCTGCAACATTCACTCATGAAACTCGTCGATGAGGACAATACCACTTCATTGATTTTCGGACGGTGAGCTAGCTCAAGTTATCAAAAAGGAGTGCCTTCTAAACCTATCACTTGACACCGGCGCAATAGGTGGCACTGATCGCTTACTAAATCGCCACAACTCGCATGTGGAGACGGCGACGACTTGTTAAGTTGCTAGCAGGCAAGTGCTATTGAGGGTTAGGAGCTACAATGGCTGCATTTACAGTTTGTAGGCTTCCACGTAAGCAACGGCCAAATCCGATCCTTATGAGCAGTTGACCTTAACGCATGTGAGTGGGAAGAGGTCACAAAGCGCTGCATAACACTAGGTAGGGCTGGTGCGATGAGGCTCATAAGGGCACGCGGTGTCCACTTACATGCTTGTAATTTGGACTCGTAGCGCTTTAAGCTAGACGCTTTGTTTTTTATACAAACGGTAACCAAA